AAGACACATGACATTTTAGAGCAGTATAAGGCATACATGACATGAAACAACTGTATATAGCATACAAGTAATACACAGAACAGCTGTACATAGCATACATGACATGTATACAACAGCTGATAATAAACAAGGAGGAACTGCGACCAAGGCTTCAGAAGCTGATCCTACACTATCACAATGATATTCGCTTCGCTACATACGACCAACCTCACTTCTTTTTCAGTTTATTTTTCACGTTTCAAAACAAGAAACTAGAAATGTGCACAGAAATCAATACCCCATACTGCATCAAGACGCACGCTTGATGTTTTAATCAATTTTGAATGATCATTGGCGTTTCATGGGGCGTGTCTCAAAAGCATCATGTCTCTGATAGACGAGGACACCAAAGGTAGGGGAATTTGGGAGGGGGGGGGGGGGGGGGGGGGATTTGGGGGTAGGGGTGGCGTGAAGTTGATATGTTGCGTAATGCATACGTAATCTATGGCAAAGACAATAGCAACCTCTCTTGTACAGTACAGACAAAAGCACAATGTTGAACAATAAGACGTTTGGGATGTTCGGCGCATTATTAACGGCAAAAGGAGACAGAAGTACAGTCTACGTGCATTCTGCACATGACGCCAGCTTTAACCAGGAACAACAACACACGAAGACAACCAGATCAACATCGCTATCTAACATGTTACAGGAACTTGTACTTTCATCATTACCAGGACGTTAAGACCCTTGAACACTTCATACTACATTTACTAGATCAAAATAGACAGTCAATCAATATATCAATAATATAGACGGGATACATTACAAATGTATATTACAGTCTATACTAGTACATGGTGCATTTGCTGGAAAATATAGACCATAATAGGTCGCCATAGACCATCGCATATTTTCAAGGGTACGATAGTACATCGACCGATTGATGCACTGTACCTATCGGCTTCCCAAACACATTTTGCAAAATGACGACTATGACATCCTATTTTCCCAGGTCACTGTGGACCTTCAACAATTAATTATACATAACACTTTTTCCATGTTTTGTGTCCATCCGGGGAATTCCCGGGGACAATTCTGGACAGCTGGGCTGTGAGTTGAAACACTGGTGATAGTTGTTGACAAATGTATTCGTGGGGTCAGACGTTACCATCACCCATTGCACTCGGAAATCACATGCAGACATTAAAAGGATCCGTGTTTGTGTAGCTACATTGACAGCATCAGTACACATGATGTTAGGCTCGTGTATTGCAAGACGCTTTCTACACGATATATACTACTAGAAAAGTTTAACTCTCCTGAATAATATGACATGCATGGTGCAAGCGTGACAATCTAGTCCACAATAATCGAAAAGTATTTCCTTTCCGTGTGTGTGTGTGTGTGTGTTTGTGTGTGTGTATGTGTGTGTGTGTGTGTGTGTGTGTGTGTTTGTGTGTTAGTGTATGTGTGTGTGTGTTGATGTGTGTGTTTGTGTGTGTGTATGTGTTGTTTGTGTGTGTGTTTGTGTGTGTATGTTGGTGTGTGTGTTTGTGTGTGTGTGTGTGTGTGTGTGTGTGTGTGTGTGTGTGTGTGTGTGTGTGTGCTTGCTATGGAGCCTTGCTTTCGAGGTTTCAACTTGATATTACCTTCTCATATGTGATTTGAAGTCTAATTTTAAAGTTTTTACATAGTATACATGTGTACTTACGTGCATAAACAAGTGAGTCTGGATCGCCGAGGTTTCCACTTATACGTGTGTGTGTATCTCTCTCTCTCTCTCTCTCTCTCTCTCTCTCTCTCTCTCTCTCTCTCTCTCTGTCTCTCTCTCTTCTCTCTCTCATATACACTTAAAAGTTGGTTTTGTCTAGTACACAATAATCGAAAATTATTTCTTTAAAAACATAGTCATGTGTAAACAAGTCTCTCTCTCTCTCTCTCTCTCTCTCTCTCTTTCTCTCTCTCTCTCTCTCTCTCTCTCTCTCTCTCTCTCTCTCTCTCTCTCTCTCTCTCTCTCATAGCATAGTCTCCCCACTCCGCAAACTTAAAGTCCAATACACAACCTGTTGTAGGATACTCATTGATCTGATGCATGTAAAATAGTCTATGATTCCCACATCAAATACGTCCCCACCAAATATGGGAGTAGACCTTCTTTTATCCAGCAGTCTATAAAAAAGTGTATTAGAATCCTAAGCTGGCAGACACCAATATCAATAATGGACAATGCCCATTCGGAAAGTCACTCCAACTGATATAAGAGATTATACCTGTAAATATTTCAATAGACGTTGATTCTGGAAACCTAAGTTGGCGCCGACAATACTATAATCGCATCTATATGCAAAAGGCGTCCATCGACATCAATGCATTGCTGGTATTCACGTCTATTGATTTTAAGATACAGTGTCACCTTGAAATGATTTATGTCGGTGTGAAACATGTCTTCGCTTGTACAGGCGGGAGTTTTTACAATGCTTGTCACAGCATCAAATATAGAGATTTACTGTCCACAATATGTTCCCTGAGTATTAAGCCTACAAACTAGACCACTAAACTATAATGTTCTGTGTTTTCAACACACTGAAACCTACACAAGTTATCGTACACTTGAATAGTGTCTCCGTTTTCCGTCTTTTCTCGGACGTGGATATCAACAGGCTTTAAAACACCGATTAATCTGTCTTTATTCCATATGAAATTGAATTAGAAGAAATGTCGACTTCTCTGCTATGACAGATTCAAAGCCAATTCGCAAGACTCTCTTAAACGCCAAAGCGTTGCAAGACTAAGCCAGGGATTCCAGATTGATTGGAAACGTGAGGAAAATACCCGAATATACCACGCGATATACGATATTCGGCATTCCACTGACTTACAGAAAGCAGTAAAACCAAAATTAAATTAATCTAAGTGCAAACTAGAATATCACCATCAAATCAATACACTATTGGAAAATACTATCGACGCTGCAGAAACGAACGTTGCCGCGCCAGTTACCCCTTTATCAGAACATCAATCAGCTATTTACTTTGGTCACAGGCTTTCGTCGCAGGACTTTTCGGAATGATTTTGAAAAGGAAAATCGAAATAGCTTCCTAAAAAAACTTGATAGATACCAAATTAAACTCTTCCGCATCCCTATCCGCCTCTCTTTCGTTTCTCTATCGATACTTTTGATTATCTTATGCACGAGAAAAGTCTATACGTCTAGTCATTACACGGATACATATATTTTTCATCAGTTTATAATTTTCGCCCGTTTAGTTGATGTTTCGGGGCGACAGTTAACGCTATCAAAGACTAACCCCCTGAAATCGACAACAGTTACATACGGGCGATTTGTCGGCTTTCCTCGTCAATAGAGTCACCCTTGTCACTCGTCTTCCAAGAAATCCATGGCATCGGGACACCAACAAAGCGAATAACTTCATATATACCGATATGCATTGACTTGACAAATAAACATACCGTGGGATTCTGTAGTTAATTAGTTTTAGTATACTAATATACGTACATCTAGCGAGAACCGCCTCCGTAGTATAGTGGATAGAGCACCAGCCCGGAGAGTAGTCGGTGGTTCGATACCCTGGCTGCGTCGTCCTAAAAGACATTAAGAGGTGGTAACTGTTGTTTCCTTGCATGTTTTTAGGCATTAGGGGGTCAAACAGAGATTGGGTGGCAGAATTGTATTCATATTAAACTGCAGCATGGTATCTCTGTGGGCTAGCACTACAGAAACCAGCATACGTCTGGACTACTACAAGCAGCCACACATGTACGTCGATCTGTAAATGCAATAATGTTGAACGCGAAGTTCAACCCAAATTCACCACATCTCACAAATAAGAGTGAGTGAGGATGGTTTTACGCCGCTTTTAGCAATATTCCAGCAATATCATGGCGGGGGACACCAGTAATGGGCTTCACACCTTGATTCCCATGTCGGGAATCGAACCCGGGTCTTCGGAGTGAGGAGCGAACGCTTTAACAATTAGCCTACCCGACCACCCCCACAAATAAGAAGGTAATATAAGGTAGGTGTGTGTGTGTGTGTGTGTGTGTGTGTGTGTGTGTGTGTGTGTGTGTGTCCTTGCTATGGAGCCTTCCTTTCGAGGTTTCAACTTGATATTACCTTCTTATATGTGAGGTGAAGTCAAATTTTAAAGTTTTACCATGATAGTATACACGTGTACTTGCGTGCATAAACAAGTGAGTCTGGATTGTCGAGGTTTCCACTTATACATGTGTGTGTATCTCTCTCTCTCTCTCTCTCTCTCTCTCTCTCTCTCTCTCTCTCTCTCCCTCACTCTCTCTCTCTCTCTCATTGCTAATTATAATGCAGCATTGCACTTAACATCTGAATATATGACTAAAATATTTTAGCGCAATTAAAACCAAATCATGATGTGAATAATGGTTAGTAACTTAACGCCGCTATGAACACAGTTTCAGCAATATCACAGTGTGTCAGCTGAATAAGGGTGAATTTATAGCTCCAGGCGACAGACGGTAGGCATACCCACTTCGGCAAGACTCACCACCAAGAGTATGGTGTTGACAGACGAAGGATCGGGGTCAGAGCGAAACGCGGATTCGAACCCTCAGCCATGTCTATATGACCTGGCACGTCTGAAGGATGCAGCATTACAAAGCGGAGTGCAGTGCATTAGATGACTAGGCTACCGCGCCGGTCTTCAGTTACGCGTGTGAATTAAGTGCACGATATGACCTAATTATTTTTCTTGGGAACCACATTAAAAAGAAGTATGGCTGTTTATTGGCTGCGCTTTCACTCGCGACTTTTCTAACAAAAAATAAGGCCATCGACAAAAAATTCCAAAGATTGCCCTTGAAGAATGAGCCCTCTCAGCGTGATAATGAGCAAGAACACGGGATGATAAGCCAATACGTTTTACGCCAATGAGTGCAGCGAATAAGCAATGATAGCCCCCAGCTGAACAAGGAAATGTCACTGGCTCGCCTCGGTTACTTCTGGAGCGCTTTCTGTTTCGAATAATTTATGATAGTTGGAGAACTGCTCGACAAAGTAACCCATCATATTATATTATGCACATTTAGACCGAACGCTCATAAATATTTACCGATTGGTTTCAAAGAGCACACAATCGTTCACATTACGAGTTTGGGCTAATCCCATTTTGCTGATGTCGATGAGCTAAAAATAGCGATGAACCGCTCCACGCGACAGAAAGACAGACGACAGTGCACAGGCCCCTAGTAAACAATTGGAAGCGGCGAGAGCACGACGAGAGCCCCGCGTGTGTGTTTGAAGGGGACTGTCTTGTTGGATGGACACACGAGGATAATGTTCTTGTGTAGGATATGGTTATAGTACTCTTCAATAGACAGAGTTTGCGTTCTGCTGGCAGAGCCAGCTCACTAAACGTGCGAGGCGTGTTGACAAAGCCCCGGTACAGCACACCTGTTTGGCTGTAATAGGAGACATCATTTTAGCCAGTGTCAAGCCGTATGTTTGTCCACAACAGGGATCAGGGATACAGAAGGAGTAAGACGCCATGATGGACCTTCAGGACCCATTTTACCGCCAGTTATTCTGGATTTTCATATATGTCACAGGTATGTAACGTCTGGAGTTGTCGCGTTATAACGGGGGAGTGATCGTCGTGCGGGGGAACTGTGTCTCACTGAATAATTTCCCGCATACGCAAGTCGGTTTCCACACAGTGTACCGCACTTGCATACTTATTAAGGATGATCAGTAAATTGATTTTATTTAAAAATGGGAGTTTAATTGATTTGACAAATATTATGTTAACCGTCGGTGCAGCATCTTTTCAATTCTGACCCAAGACCGCTATATGATATTGGACGTTAAACTGTAAAATGATGATCCATTATTAACAAAAAATGTATAAACTTTTGGTATCAGAATCGGTATGTGTCGTTTGACAGAGCATTTTGATTCTTTTATGTCTGGCAAATAATAGTGGGTCAATGCCAAGGGGCATTGATTTCATTACACGCAATTGCAGTGAAACATCTGTGACGTCAAGGGGCTTAAACCTGAAAATTAGAGCGTGTGAGTGTCTATTTTCTGATGTCTATCCCCAGTTAGGAGAAATACTTGTCATTGACCCTACATTTCTCCCCAGCGATCCTCATCTATTGATTTTAGGCTCGTAAATTCAAGGGAGGTCTTACCCCTGTAAATCCATGGTCCCTGACCTCGCTATAACGCTTACTGTCATTCTCAAACCTATCCTATGCTACCCACGCAGACTAATACAATTCGACTATATTGTGGTGTTATAGGAAATAACTCGTCCCTATGACCAGTAATCATGCTCCCTATTTCTGTATTATGAACAATATATTCCCTTATTTTTCAATATCGACCGAGAAATGTTGATAGGAAGTCACTTAAACCAAACACAGACCTTCGGCATGTCTGTAAAATACGTTTAGTGCCCACGGTGTCTCATCGAGATGTATAAAGCAGTACGTGTCTGAACTACCCTGCTAATGGAACGACTTAATGCGATTGTATCCTACTTTTTCATGATGCTGAATCACTAGATAATCTGCCATTGCTCTTCCTTATTGATTGTCACGCCCATTCACAAACATGTGCTATTACACACATTCAGGTGAGTTTATGTTTACAGAAAATATTGTATTACAAATTTCTAACAAGTATGCACATGGCTGGAACAGTTTACTGTATTGGATATAATCTGTATTTAGTGTAGACCCATTTATTCGTCATTTTTGTATCACCCACGAACGAATAGGCGAAATGTCTGTACTAGTAATTATAAAAAAAGATGTGTGTAAGTATATTGCCCATCCACCATGAATATTATGTCAATAGCCTGGTTATAGTCGAACATTTGCTTATACCGCTTAGGAATTAGATAACAGACTAATATATTTCCAGAGTTGTGATATTTTCAAACTATTCATTACGATAATTATCTCACTATATGTGGCCTACAGTGTTTGCTCTCACAATCCTCGTGGAGTGTGACGTCACAATTCAAAGGCGTCTATCCATCAACAGTGTCACACAAAGAAACATTGATGCCTGTGCGTGTTACATCAAGACCAGTCGATCATTGTCACGATAACACTGTTCACGCAGTTGACACAACCTTAAGACGGTTGCATAATCATTACTTATGCAACTGCGTCATTTCAAGCACAGCGCTTGTATGCTTAAAACAGAAAAAAACCCATTATACCAGACGATTCTATTCCCTTTGAATCGCCTGGATTAACCGGTTTCCGGATAAACAAGCATGTGTTTAGAGTAATGTCCCTTTATTATACACTGAACCATAAAAGATTAGGGATCATGCACATTTTGGGGATATTCTTGGAGTGAATACTAAGCAAACAATTTATTTGAAAAAATATCCTCCAAAATATTCATGATCCCCAGCCTTTTTGATTCAGTATACAAACGTCCTCCGCAACATCGCCCAGAAAAAGCCGGGGGTGGGGTGATCCAGACAAACGAGGTTTCACTGTATATAAGACAACATCCTTGGTCTAATGGAAGGGAGAGCGGAAGGTCGGGGGTTCGATCTCCGGCCGCGTCATACCAAACGACGTTAAAAGATGGTACTTGTTGTTACCTTGCCTGGCGTTCGGTATTGAGGAGCGAGGACAAGAACTGGTGGATTCGGAGTCAGTATATTGTATCTGAGTGGGGAATTCATGTTAAACTGTGGCATGGTATCTCAGTTGACAAGCTCTATAACATCGCAATGAGTCAGGACTAGTACAAGCAAGCACACACACACACACACACACACACACACACACACACACACACACACACACACACGCACGCTCATGCACTTCGTTTTATAAGTGCGATAATATTGAACGCGACGCTAAACCCCATTTCACATCACATCACTGTATATAACTGTCTCGATACGCCAGACACATACTAGACACGTTGTTCAGCTATCTGCACATGTCCATACTTTCGGGCGAAACATTATATACCTTTCCTGGTTGAACATTGTACTTCACATGCGTGAGTTATAATGGCGAAATGCGATGGGATAATCAGCTGTTTTGTGTTCCATCGGAACGATGAGTATCTCTGTAAAGGAGAGACGGACAACTTATTATCCGTCATATGATATGAGTAAATTACATTTCAGTATTGTAACAACTGCGCGTTATTTCAACTGTCTGTCATACACATGTATAATACATGCTGGTCCCATCTACGACCTGTCCAACTCCGTAGGTATGCTGACACCCTTTATCTAAGTCCATACACGCCTCATTATGTAAACAAAGAATATAAGTGCCAATTACTCGCATCAACCAGACTATAAATAGTATATCGCCATTGACTATCAAGTCCTTAAGACACACTCCAGTGATAAAAATCTCTATGGTCGGCATTTGTCATATGTTTAATGCCCGGGGGTAGTGGTAGGTGTTTACTTGATACATTAAATATGAATCTTTGTCAAGTTAGTTCAATATGATTCATTGTCATATGGGTTCTAAGAAGCCATGAGACGTATTTGATTAGTGGGCAGTGCATTTGTATCCGGCATACAGAGTCGGTAGTCGGCCGCCCTATAGGTATGTCATTGTGCTTCCTGTACAGAAGTCGATGTCGAACACCAGGTCGTATTATTAAGAAAAGAGAGATTTTTTTGTATCAGTGTTGACTAGGATATGAGCCTTTTCTGTGTGATGTTAAGTTACAAGCTTCTTGTTCCCTTTGAAGCTTATTTTCCTATGGACCCATGGATGTGAATGAGAAAGATAGATCTGTCATTCCGCAACTGACTCTCCGAGTTCCAACGACTGTCAGTCTTCAAAAAGTAAATTTGAAAACGGCTTTTTACAATATGTAAAGGGAATTAACTCCCTTTTTAAAGATCGCAATTCCGTTTTCAGTAAACGCGAATGCCACTTCCAGTGTGGTTATCCGTCTGAACAGTGTAATGATTGGCAGCTAGAGATATAGATAATGTATTAACATATGACCTTCTATACACATTAAACTATGGCAAGTCAGTGTTTGAAACACGTGATTAGTGACGAAACAGGTTAAGTGATGCACAAACGTCGCGATGCTATATGTTTCTCTAACAAATTGTTCACCATACTCTTTCTTCACTTGTTATATATCTTGAAACACCTAATATTTGACATTTAAAGACTACGCTCTAAAATACGCGATCAGACTGAGTAATGGATTTCACATGACAAACCAGTTTGAAAACGGCTTGAAAAAGTCCACTTAGCCTTATTTCAGAAAGGTTAGTCCAGATACAGAACAGTTCGTGTCGTGTATCGTTGGATATGAAAACACGCCGCACCTGTGTCCATGAGTCTTTTCAGCCTATTATTAGTGCTATTATTAATTCTCAAAAATACACCCCGTGGGGACTGTGGGTTAGAATAGGTCCCCAGCAACATATGCTGGTCGTAAGAGACAACGAAATGGATCCGTGGTCAGGCTCAGTGACTTGGCGTGTCATCTGAACCCGAAGGCATGGATCGTTGCTCACAGTATCACTCAATTGATGATCTGGTCCAAACTCGATCGTTTTACAGGCCGCCGTCATATAGCTGGAATATTGCAGAGTGCGGCGTTAAACAACAAAACAACAGTCTAAACAGTGCATTGTCTAGAACAGTGGTTGACCTGATGGGTAGTTCGTCTGCACGTCAACTATGTATGTTAGTTAGATACAACCGTTGCAGCTCTTCCCTCCCGCACCCAATGTTAATACTGCACTGCGGTGTAGCCTAAAATCCTATTGTCACTCACTCACTCACTCACTAGAGACACGTTGAAGACTATTCCTCTCAAATTGTACGTTCTCCTTCCTTGTGAATGTTTAAACATTTGAAGAGTGTTGTTCATATTTGCCTCGCTTGTGCCTCTATACTTTTTCATCGAAATCATCACAGCGTTGACATCAATGGTTTTTTATCATTCTTCCCCACCAGACTTGATGAAATTCCGGAAACGGAAGTGACTTCTCGCACCTGCATCCTGTGTAAGGAAGTTTCTGCTTCCAGTGTGCTATGTAAAAAGGTTTTGGTAATTAGCAATCATCAACTACACGCTACGGGGACTTTTTACCCACCGTTCCCTTTATTCTCAGCCTGAAACACTGCAGGACCAGACCACCGAGGACTTAAGCATACGATCGCGCAATGCAGTTTTCTGTAAATTAGTTTCGCACTTTTATGTCAAGTCACAAAGAACTTTCGATCTACCAGCTGTGCTTGATTAAAAGGGACAATCTTTTATGAAAAAAGAAATACATTAGAAAAAGAGTGATTTATTTTATGATTCTATCAAATCACATGTGATCAAACAATGCGCCACAAAATGGCAGGAGAAGTAGAGTTCAGGGGACTGTGGTTTAGTTTCAGCTGAAGACGGCTTCAATAAAACATTGCATGCAGAGCTGCCATTTTTCCTGATTTTCATTTTTGGCTTTTGTGTGATTCCGATGAAGTGTGTGACCAGATTACGCGTAACCCCAAACCTTTGTACAATAGACACTTACATTACGGAACTGAGTTGGGAGAAACGATTGCGCATGGAGATAAGCCGTATT